GCATGCGCAGTGCCGGCTGGGGTCGTGAAGGCACCACCGTCACGCACATGCGCAGTGCCGGCTGGAGCTGTAAAGGCACCACCGTCACGCGCATGCGCAGTGCCGGCTGGAGCTGTAAGGGCACCACCGTCACGTGCATGCGCAGTGCCGGCTGGAGCTGTGAAGGCACCACCGTCACGCGCATGCGCAGTGCCGGCTGGTGTTGTGAAGGCACCACCGTCACGCGCATGCGCAGTGCCGGCTGGAGCTGTAAGGGCACCACCGTCACGTGCATGCGCAGTGCCGGCTGGAGCTGTGAAGGCACCACCGTCACGCGCATGCGCAGTGCCGGCTGGTGTTGTGAAGGCACCACCGTCACGCGCATGCGCAGTGCCGGCTGGAGCCGTAAGGGCACCACCGCCACGCGCATGCGCTGTGTCGGTGGGGATTGTCGAAATGGGGCACCACAGTGCTCAGACACTGGAGGGCCCCATAACACAACAAATAGAGACTCAGAGGGGAAGAGACGTGACATCTCAGCTGGCTCTAAGGAGCATACAGCGGGAGATGCTCACGACATCTGCTTGGGTTTCTCAAGACAGTTACACGGAGCTACAGACTCCAAGTCACCGTCACCCCCCCTCGCTTCTCGGGCATTCTGCATTCGCAGGCCCGAGGAGAGTCAGCCCATATTCTGGAGAGAGAGATTCTCTCACTCCTAGAAAAGAGGGCTATATCTATTGTACCCGCCGAGCAGAGTCAGGGCGGATTCTATTCCAAGTACTTCCTCGGTCCCAAACGGGGAGAGAACGGAATTCGGCCAATACTTGATTTGAGGGCTCTGAACAAATATCTAAAAATATATAAGTACAGAATGCTCACTCACACATCTCTGCTGCGGCTCGTGCGACAAGACGACTGGTTTACATCAGTCGACCTGAAAGATGCGTATTTTCACATCCCAGTATATCACCCACACAGGAAATATCTGAGATTCGCATTTCAGGGGATCTGTTATGAATACAGAGTACTCCCCTTTGGTCTGTCTCTCAGTCCAAGGGTGTTTGTACGATGTACGGAAGCCGTGATAGCCCCGTTAAGACAACAGGGTATTCGCCTGGCGACCTACCTGGACGACTGGCTGCTTCTCGCACAGTCGGAGCAGGAGGCTGTTACGCAGACAAATGTCCTCGTAAAGCACCTGCTCAACCTGGGTTTCATAATAAACACAGAGAAGAGCATGTTGTGCCCCGCGCAGACTATACTCTTCCTGGGTTTACGCCTGAACTCGGTGTCCTTTTCAGCTCGCTTGTCAGCGGAAAGAGTGAAAGCTTTCAGAGCTTGTCTCGCTCTTTTCCAGCTGCGCAAACATGTTCTCTTCAGACCATGCCTGCGATTGCTGGGGCTCATGGCGGCAGCCATCCTGGTCGTACGACTGGGACGCTTACACATGAGGGAGTTTCAGCGCTGGGTGGCCGCCCTAAAACTAAACCATGGCGCCATGGCGCGCGGAGAGTTATGGTTACTGTGAAATGCGTAATGGCACTGCGCCACTGGCTGCACCCGACTTTTCTAGTACGAGGTGTGCCTATGGGTGCTGTCCTTTCACGGAAAGTGGTCACCACGGACGCATGTCTGACAGGTTGGGGAGGTATTTATGAAGGTCGCCCGGTGAGGGGTCTCTGGAGCAGAGACCTCCAGTAATCCATAAATTACCTGGAGCTTTTAGCGGTGTTTCTCACCCTAAAACGCTTTCTGCCTTTCCTCAGGGGACATCACGTCCCTCGTGAGGACAGACAATACGACCACAATATCGTATATTAACCGCCAAGGGGGTTTGCGTTCTCTCCAGTTACACACACTGGCGCGCAAACTGATCCTATGGAGCGGTAGACGTCTCCTCTCTCTGAGAGCGACGCACGTACCGGGAGTGATGAACCTCGGGGCAGATCTACTGTCCAGAGGTATACCACTTTATGCAGACTGGACTCTACATCCAAGGATTGTGAGCCAGCTGTGGGTGCGTTACGGCAGAGCCGCGGTGGATCTGTTCGCATCGAAAGACAACGCTCAGTGTCAGCTGTTCTTTTCGATGCGCGATCTAAATGCACCGTTAGGCGTGGATGCACTCGCGCACGATTGGCCCCCGGGCCTTCTGTACGCGTTCCCACCCTGGCTCTGATACCCCCAACTCTGGCCAGAGTGAGAGAGCAACGCCACACACTTATCCTGATAGCTCCGCACTGGCCAGCTATGTACTGGCTAGCGGAGATATATCAGCTGCTGTGTGGGCAGCCATGGCAGCTCCCACTACGCAGGGACATACTGTCCCAAGCGGGGGGGGGGCGATCTTTCACCCACACCCAGAGCGCTTGGCTTTATGGGCCTGGCCCGTGAGTGGTACAATCTGAATACAGTGTGACATGAGCTGACCCTGGCAGCTGCCAAGCGAGCCAGTGGCACTCATGCACTATCTGTACAGTCTTCATGCACTCAGTTCGCCCCAGGGCAAACAGAGTGTGGTTGAAGCCCAACCCTACCTTTATCTTAAGGCGGTTGGTTCAGGTACCACATTTGACATTGAGGCATCCTCCCCGCCACTGTATTCCTCCGGGGAACAGCGGCCGGATTTGCCGTGTCCAGCCCGTGCTTTACGCACGTACAGGGACAGATCAAGGGTGCTTCGTCATAATGACCAACCCCTTGTGTCCTGGGCTAACCCTTATAAGGGCAAGCCTGTTACTAAGCAACGGCTCTCCCACTGGTTTGTGGAAGCAATTGCTTTGGGGCTCATACGAGTCAGAGTTCGCAGGCACCCTCGGGTCCGCGAGTTCTTTCGACTCAGGGTCTGGCTGCATCCTGGGCTCTGTCCAGGATGTCTCCCATCCAAGACATTGGTGCAGCGGCGAGCTGGTCCTCGCCGCTCACTTTTGTCCGCCTCTTAACAGGCTGGACGTTCTGTTCCCAGTATGACTCAAGCAGTGCTGGGCACCTGGTTGAGTCAGAGCTCTACCTGTTGGTTTGGTGATTTTCGAGATAAGCTCGTCTGACAATACGGGAGCTACAATTTCCCATAGTGAGACATCGAACGGAGTGTTATGAATGAGAACTATAGGTTACTTACGTAACCCCAGTTCTCAGAGTAACATGAAGTGAGATGTCTCACCAGACGGCCCTCCTTGCTATGGTGAAGCGAGAAGAGGTGCTTATTTTGAATGACGCATGCGTCGTGGCGTAAGCTACTTATAGGGGGTGAATTCCCTGACGCTGACGTCAAGATCACCAGCCAATCAGGATTGGCGTAATGAGATTGATGCTGCTGTTTGCTCCGCGATGAGGCGCATCCCATCGTGAGACATCTCACTTCATGTTACTCTGAGAACAGGGGTTACGTAAGTAACCTATAGTTTTGTCTCTAAGGTTTCAAGGAGTTTCTCTACGGTTTGTATCTCCCATTTGATTACGTTATCTCTACGGTTTAAAGGAGTTCTTCTAAATCTAAGGTGTGAAGGACTGTCTCTACGGTGTGAAGGTGTGTCTATACGGTTAAAAGGAGTGTCTCTGTGGTTTAAATGATTGTCTCTACTGTTTGGAGGTTTGTCTCTATGGTTTGAAATAGTGTCTCTATGGCTTGAAGTAGCGTCTCTATGGTTTTAAATGTCTCTACGGTTTTAAATGTCTCTACGGTTTTAAATGTCTCTACGGTTTCGAAGTTTGTCTCTACGGTTTGAAGGATTGCATCTACTGTTCAATTCAGTGTCTCTCGGGTTAAAGGAGTGTCTCTATGTTTTGAAAAAGCCTCTCTACGGGTTTGAAGGAGCGTCTCCACGGTTTGAAGAAAGATCACAGAAGTTGGCGAGATCCTGCAATACTTACTGTCGCGGTAGCAGACATTGGTTTAGTTACATCCAAGCCATACAGCAAAGGTGAACAAAACTCTAGAGAGCAGGCCAGATAGGAATACTCTGCCTGTGAGGTCAGTCTGAGAGCATTAGCATCCACAGAAGGACAAGCCTGTATACAAACTGAGGCTAGATGGGGAAATCCAACCTGTGCATGCTGATGCTGAGGCGTTTGTCTCCATGGATCCCACAATTCCATATTGAATTGAACAAACTGCAGCAAAGGTAGAACAAGTGGTGGAGAACCCCCTATTGTATTTGAGAGAAGCACAGTAAGAGAAGATAGTTTATACTTTTGATTGGCAGAAAAATGGTGTCGTGAAATATATTCACAGGTATTTTTTTTAAGGGGGACAGGAAAAGCTCTTGGCAGAAAATAAATGATGAAAATGTTTTTAATCCCTCACTGATTCAGCCCAGCAGCAAGAGATGTACCAGCTCTTTTCATTATCCCTTTGAGACACCCCTGTTCCTTCTGCAGAACGCCCCAGTCAACACTGTGTGGTGACAATTACTCCATCCTCCTCCTCCTCCTCCTCCTCCTCCTCCTCCTCCTCCTCCTCCTCCTCCTCCTCCTCCTCCTCCTCCTCCTCCTCCTCCTCCTCCTCCTCCTCCTCCTCCTCCTCCTCCTCATCTTCCTCCATTCTCTGTATCGTTCTCCCCACCTAATCCATGGACAATTTTATGGACACAATGTTCCCTTTTGTGATGTCTAATTGTTTGCGAGAATAATAATATTACATTGGTAATCCTTATGACACATGTATTAGAAATGGGGAACCATTTCTTCATAGAATGAAAAGGCAATTTACAGGAGGCAAATTAGATGATGGCAAGCAGATTTGTAATGCCACGGGTAAGGTAGCGTAATGGATTTGTATGCCACCAGACTGTGAGATGAGAGTCATTAGCCTGTTGCCCTGGAGACATACAGTCATAAAAATAACTTCTCAAAATCTAATGGCTGCATTTATATGTAATTCAATTTGAACCCTTGACTCTGTACTTGTCAGGAACAACCTCACGCTTAGCCTGTCAACAATTTGCAAAAGCTCAGAAATTGTGACGATGCATGCTCTATGTTTCGGTTCATAAGTCTCTGATCTTTTTTTTAACCAGATCCCCCTGCCCACAGAAGGTTCTCCACTCACTCCTGTGGCAACCGTTTCTCGGTACGCCTGCCAGAGACGGACAACCCTGGAAAACCATAACAAGAAATTCACAGTAAGAAACTCTTCTCTAACGTCATTCTGGACACAGCACTTTTACATGTCGCCCACCTTAAGCTGTCGCACTGCTTTCCCATGCAAAAAGCCTCCTAATCTGTTCTGCTCTAATTGGATGGCTGGCTTGCTTCACTCAGCAGCACTCTGACACAACTCCCCCCAAAATACATTAACCTGCAAATGAGCAGCATCTGCGGCTCTAGCGTTTTAGAGATGCAACAGCTGACAGGCCCACGATCCCTGGCACCGGGGCCGGCACGGACACGCCCTGAGGCGCCAAGATGGCCGACAGACGTGACGCTCCTTACAAGAAATTATGAATCTGTCCCTCTGCCATCTGGTGGACAGTGTAGCAGGGAGGGTTAGGGTGGGATTCAGGTTCCCACAAATAATGGGGAAATTATTAACTAGTTGATTGGCTCAGGTGTTGATGACACCAGAAAAGGGCAAGGATGTTACATTGAGACAGTGGTGGAAGAAATACTTATATTGTACTATCATAAGGGAATGTAGAGTGGTGCCAGTTTGAGTCTTAAAACATCAAAATTACCTAGCATTTTACCACTTCCGGTTCCCTCTTCTCGAAGTCAACGCTTTTTTGAAAGTTTGTGGTTTGAAGCCTGAATTAAGGTCTTTGGGTATTACAAGCTGAATAGATTTCACGTTTGATCTACATTATAAAATGTGGCAGTATTTACTCCACTTGTGTATTTCCAAAGCTTTCATGTGTGATACAAACAGCTGTTGAGAAGTGGCTAAATGAGACTACTTAACATCATCACAGAAAACATTAGGTGCCTTTACTTAGCAGTGATGATCAGCAGTCTTCATGATGTAGTACGTTCATAGCCTAAAATTAGCATGATATTTCTGGCTATTGCATTTATGCTTAAACAAATTATAAAATGGTGTTAATATTTGGAGATTATTTTATGACACGATATGTATCTTGTATCGAACAAATGTTATTTTCTGCAATATATCGATATCCAATGAAAATGTGACGCTTACTTCCAGGTCGGCCTAGAATTATACCTCATCACTGTACCACTCTTTTTACAAGAAAAAGTCCTGCATTCAAACTCGTACTCTATTAAATGTACAAAAGTATTAGCACATAAGTATAAGCATCAAAATAAACTCAAAAGTAAAGTGCTAATTATTATGAATGGTCCATTTCAGAATCATATCTAACTAATTATATTATAGTTATAGAGCAGTTTGAATTCATATTTTTGGGGGGTAGGTGGGAATTATTTGAATTATTTTATATATTTTTGTTATATTATTATAAAAATATCTACAATATTTTCTAAAGTGTGTTAAATCGCTTGCTATAAATATGGTGTAATATGTTATGTAGTATTTGCATATCATTCATCTCCAGTTGTGTGATCCCTCTCGGAGGCACTGTGTTGGTGCCGCATTTGGCACAGGATAAGAAATCACTGTTCTGCGGTGTGCGTTATCCCCGAGAAGCGTCTGGCAAACCATGTGTGTGTTTGAGTCTGGAGACCCGCTGATGAGACTATTAAGCACAGCTTACCGAGGGCCCGTGAGGCAGCGGCTCTGACATAATGACTTTTACCTCGCAGTGATTGTAAGTGTACGTATTAGAAACACACACGTGTTACGCAGTTCACCCACACGTGCCTGCGAGCATGTGCTGTTCACAGCGGCAGACACGCACAGATGCGCCTTTCCTTGAACTAGTTTGGCTTTTTTTGCACTAGTGGGCAACTGTATGCAACTAGTTAGCTATTGATTTAACATGTATGGCTTTTTCTTAAACTAGTGGATATTTTCAGGCCACTAGTTGTGGTTTTCTTCTCTCTAGTTCAGGGATGGCCAACTTTGATGGTGGTGGGGGCCACATAATTGATGTACTGGCCACCAGGGGGCCGCAGATTCACTTGGAACACACACACAAATTCCATGTATTGTATGTAATTATTAACAACTATACTAAGTCTGACATCTTCATTGACATTTTACAATATTTCAGGGAACATCCTCTAATAAGCTTGCTAAACAAATATCAGTTCACAGAAATGTTATTTATTTTTAACAAGTGGCATCCCAGCTAGAAATGTTTGGTTCTAAAAACATTCTGAGATTGTTACAGTCATTGTTCTTGGAATGTTTTCAGCGGGAAGTTTTTGTTTGGTCTCCAGACGTTCTTCGGAAAGGTAGGATAACGTTCTCTAAAAACATTCTTAAAATGTTTGGTGATAACCTTCTTCAAATGTTTTTGATAACATTGTTAGAACATTATGTCCTACTATAATTAAAACATTTTCAGCGGGAGGTTTTATTTTGGTTTCCAGAATGTTCTTCTGAAAGGTAGGATAACGTTCTCTAAAAACATTCTTCAAATGTTTTTGATAACATTGATAGAACATTATGCCCTACTGTTCTTAAAATGTTTTCAGCTGCAAGTTAGATTTTTTATGTTGCCAGAATGTTATTATTTTAGAGAAGGATAACATGGTTTATGTTAAAAAAGTATGCAAATATTCTGTGGTAACAATTTACTAAAATATGTTTACATTATTAGAACATAAAGACATAATATTCCTGTAATTGTTCAACTAAAAATTCCTGGGTAAGTGGACTGACCACTGTGGTCATTAGGATGATTATGATAGTTTACTTAACTATTGGAATTTGACTATTAACACATGTAAAAGGATGACTCGGAATCAGCTGGTGAAAGTAACATTTGTTTATTAGAAAATGGGAGCTGGGAGTGGAGGTTGGTTATGGCGGCAGTGGGAAACAGTTGTTCCAGGGTGGGTGGAGAGGCCTTGCTGGTCTTGGGAGTGTGGAAGGCCTTGGATTTGTCCTGGGAGAGACACAAAAATGAGTGTGAGGCAAAAGCAGGCAAAGTTGTCAAAGAATATGCTGGTAAAAAGGTAGAGCGGCACGCAACAAACCGTTCACGGCAACAATCCGGCAGGAAATGAGCGCAGGCTGCAGGTTTTCATAGTGTGGCTGATGAGCAGGTTGCAGGTGTGGTTGATTGGAGATTGCTCCCAGCCGTGTAGAGCAGACCAGCAGGCAGAGAGAGAGAGACACACAGTAGAAACAAACACATACAAACACTAACAGGGGTTCTATTTCGTCCCTACTGACCGCCAGAGGCGGTGCTTTAGCACTGGATGTGTCCATCGCGCGCATGCGCAGCTCGAGTACCAATACCAACAAAGTCACCTGTGACCCACGTGACACCGGCTATATCAGCCGGTGTCGTCAGTGGATCTGTTCCCTTTCATCTTCTCGCTGCGCGAGAGTACCTTGGCTACATTTTTTGTAGCCTACAGCGTTCGTTCGGTTGGAATATTTGTTAAGGATTCTCTGCAAACAGCTGGCTGCGTGCAGCTTCGCGACTCATCCAGTCGGGGCCGCGGGTTTACCCGTCCTCCAGGAGCTGTGGCTGGCTGCGCAGAGACTTCGTTCGGACAGGTTGGTGTCGGCTTGGTTGGTGATGGCAGTGTTTTCGCTCCCTCTCCCAGCCTAGTTGTCCCGTTACTGTCTGTTTTGCTTTTTGGGCTTCAACTTTTATGGTGACGGAGGTGTTTCCGCTCCCTCTCCCAGGAGTTGCCCTTGCTGTGCTTTTGTACTTATTCTGCGAAGTTCATTAGCATTGAGCTAGTTAGCAGTAGCGCTGCAGCCACTCGGCTGACGCCGTGTTAAGCACCGGAGTTTCCCGTGCTGTTTTTTCTTTAGAAGCCAGTTTCCGGTCTTAGCTTGTGTAAAGCTTCTTGATTTGGGGTGTAGCTACATCCCCTTTGTTTGTTCGGCGAGTAGCAGCACCGCTCTACTCTTCCCGTTCAGAAGGTAGGCATTCGTCTTTAATTTAACCAGTGAAGGTAGTGTTCTCGCCCCCGCTCCTGGTAGACGCTAAACTGCCTTGTTTATTCCTTTAAGCAGGTAGCTGGTGAAGGCTGTGCTCTCGCACCCGCTCCCGGTTACGCTGCATCTGGCACTCGTGTTTAATTTAACCAGTGAAGGCAGTGTTCTCGCCCCCGCTCCTGGTAGACGCTAAACTGCCTCGTTTATTCCGTTGAGCAGGTAGCTGGTGAAGGCTGTGTTCCCGCACCCGCTCCCGGTTACGCTGCATCGGGCATTTGACTTAAATTAACCAGTGAAGGCAGTGTTCTCGCCCCCGCTCCTGGTAGACGCTAAATTGCCCGGTTCCCGTTAAGCAGGTAGCTGGTGAAGGCTGTGTTCCCGCACCCGCTCCCGGTTACGCTGCATCTGGCACTCGCCTCTAGCTCAACCAGTGAAGGCAGTGTTCTCGCCCCCGCTCCTGGTAAACTGCCTTATTTATTAACCCAGCTAGGTGAAGGCAGTGCTCTCGCTCCCGCTCCCTCTGCCGGTAACGTGGGTATACTTACATCCCTCTTTCTGTTTGGCGAGTAGCGGCGCGGCTCTACTCTTTCTGTGAAGCAGGTAGCTGGTGAAGGCTGTGTTCCCGCACCCGCTCCCGGCTACGCGGCGTCTGGCTACCTACAGAATGGCTCATGCATGTAGCGCCTGTATGGCTTCTCTTGAGCCCGAGGACGGCCATGACCGCTGCCCCTCTTGCCTCGGCCTCGAGCATCTAAGGGAGGCTCTCACGGTAGGGGCCTGCATGAACTGTAGCTGCATGCCCCGGGCACTCAGAATGGCTAGACTCACTGAGGTGGAACAGCTGGCGGCAGCCAACGGACACCTTTCTTGGTCACATCCTCCTCCAGATCAGTTCGGCCGTCCCCGGCGTCTTGAGGGAGCGATGGCCATGGGTGCACCCCCCAATAGGAGGACTAGAAACAGGCTGTCCTCTAAAGTGGATCAGCTGGCTACCGACATGGACACAATGAAGTCGCTCCTCTTGGCCCTTCAGCCAGGGCCCGGTATAGGTGCTGCTAGTGTGCCGCCTGCCCCTCCTTCGGTTGCCGCCCCTCCTTCGGTTGCCGCACCTCTGTATGAGGATGCCTTGTCGCTAGCGGCTTC